TAAGGCATGTACTCTAAATAATAGTAAAATAATATGTAATGTAAATATTGGAAATAATAATGTAAGATATGAGTAGTTTATAATTACGTATATTATTGCAAATATTTTAAGGCCATTATAAGTCAATTATGTGTATATGAGTTTGAGAATTTTCTTTTATTACTTATTTGTGGGAACACCTGAATAATTAAGAAATGAATTGGACTGATTTTGGTGTCATTTACTCATTATATGTGACAATGAACAAAATTCTAAGGTTACTCAACATTGTTTAAATCCATTTTAGTTGGCAATATGCTTATGTTCTTAAATTTACTAATTTACGGTAAATAAAGTTTGTTCAAAGTAAAATGTATAAGATGTTTTAATTAATTTTAACAATCTTTATTTACCGTAAATTAGAAAATTTAGGAAGAACGTAATTTTGGAAAAAGGAAATTTGATTTGGTGCGTGCTTATTAAACTTTCTTTTGTCAACATGGAGAAAAACAGTACTTATTTAAAATAAATGCGAATGTGTCCGATGTTGTATTAGCTAAATTTGCATAATGTTTGATAGAGGATAAACCTTTCGATAAAAAATTATAAAAATCTAATTGGAATGTAGTCATAGTATAAAATTCTATTTTTACACCAGAAATTAATTCTACTTGAAAGGTGTATTTCACACACCTTAATTATGCAACTAGAAAAAAATATATTTTTCTCAATTATTTCAAATTATTACATTTTTATCTTATTTGTGCTAGTGCAAAAATGATATTTAATAGAATTTTTAATGACAAATGTCATCCACACAATATTAAAAAGTAGCGCAATGATATTTTTGCAATTATTACAAAAAAAATTTATTATATATGTTGACATTTTATAGAATGTTAAAATATTATATATTGTTGAGGTCTATGATAAATCTAAAACTAACATAGAATGTCCAAAATAATTCATATGAAAAGTCTCTTACACAATAATATTGTATATTTGATTTTTTTATTATCCATTTTTTAATTTTAAAAAAAATGTGTCATAATTTAAATAATTTATATAAATAAACAATATAATTTATATATTTAAAATATTTATTTAATATAAATTAAAGTATAATAAATATATAAATTTAAAATATTTATTTATTATGAATTATAATATAATTATATAAATCTAAATATTTAGTATGTGTAACGCACAAATTAAAATATTAGTTAAACTAATATAATTTAATCTCAAATAGAGCATATATGTTTTTTCCCAACTTAACCTTGTCCAAGGTAGGTTATCTGTTTGAAGATGTAGGATAATTCGTGGCTGGGTCCATATCAGCTTCAGGTGCAAAGTTTGGATTGATAAAGATTGGTGTAATATTAGAAGTAAAAACATCCTCATTGAGCCCTGTGGTGGATTTATTCTGAAAAGGGAAAATGCATTCATAAAATCGTACATCTCTTGAGATGAAGATTTGATTATTGTTGATATCAAGAAGTTTGTAACCCTTGAACCCTTGAAGGTAACCGATGAATACTGCAGCAGTTGCTCGAGGGTTGAATTTGTGCCTGCTAGAAAGAAGAGTAGAGGCATAACACAAAGCTGAATGTCTTGAAATCAGAATAGCTAGGAATCTTATTGTAGATGAGCTCATAAGGTGATTTATAATTTAAAATAGGACTAAGAGTTCTATTCATAAGGAAAACTACAATTTTTACACAATCACCCCATATATGAAGGGGAACATTGGATTTAAACATCAAGGCACGAGCAATGTTAAGGATATGTAAGTGTTTCCTTTCCACAACACTATTCTATTGTGGTCTCTCTACACAAGAAAATTGATGCATGATTCCTTTCTTAGAAAAATATTCCTTAAAAGCTAGTTCCTTGGCATTATCATATCTAAAGGCCTTAATAGTAGTCTAAAATTGATTTTCCACATATGAACAGAATTTTGGTATGATATCAATGCAATCAGATTTTATTCTTTAACAGGTATATCCAAGTAAATCTACTCTTATCATCTACTATGGTGAGAAAATATCTATATCCATCATAAGTAGGTATCCTAAAAGGTCCCCAAATATCAGCTTGAATTAAGTAAAAAATATTAGCACTAAATTTTTTAGAATTATGAAAAGGTAGTCTATTTTGTTTTGCTAGATTACATGTACTACAATGAAAATTAGAATTGATATCAGTCAATTGAGTTTTATTAGCATTGATTCGGTAAACAGCAGCAAGAACGTGGCCCAACCTTTTTGTGCCAAGTATTATAAGTAACAAAATTACAAATTTCACTACAAACAGAAATTAAAAAAAAAACTTAGGAAATTCAAAGAGAAGAAGCCCTTGATGTGGTCTAGCGATGCCAATCGTCCTCAAGGTTTTCAGATCTTGAAGAATAAAGCTGTTAGGTTCAAACACAAATCTAAAACAATTCTTATTTATGAGAGTTAACAAAGATAACAAATTAAATCTGAAAGTGGGTATATGTAGAACATTATGCAGGAAAATCTCATTACTAAGCTTTATACTTCCTATATATGCCTTTTACCTAGACTTTAGTGGAGTTAGGCAGTAAGACATGAGAATTGATAAGAGGTGAGTATGAATTATACAAGGTTTTTGAACAACATATATGTGAAGTAGCACCAGAATCTATAATCCAAATGTGGTTTTTATCATAAAAATCAACATTCATGCATATACCTGTAACATTGGTAGCTATAGCATCAAGATTGTTTTTTGATTGTATTTGATTGTTCAAGAGAGTCATCAGTTGCTGATACTGAGCAGGGGTCAAATTTAAGGAAGTATTTGATTTCGAGGATTTAGGTGAAATATCAACTTGATTTACAACTTGTGGTTGACGATTTTTGAAATAGTTAGGAAGGTAACCCACAAGTTTGTAACATTTATCTTTAGTATGTCCAAACATTTCATAGTGAGCACATTTGGGTCTTTCTTTCTTGATAAATTTACCTTTTTTGTTATCAAAATTTGTTTTAGAGCTTTGATTCACAGCAAAAGCCATATATCATTAGAATGAGCAGAAGTAGCGTGAGTGACAGCGATTTCTTTCTGTGTTTCTTCTTGAAGAATAAGGGAAAAAACGTTACCAATGGAAGGGAGGGGGTCAGAGAGAAGAGGCTGGCCACGAATTTGGGAAAACTAATCATTGAGTCCCATGAGAAAAGACATGACATATTCTGACTGCGTGTGTTTATGAAGAGATTCAAGCCCTCCACAGGTGCACTGAAAGTTTGGTTTGTAGCTTGCTAACTCCTCCCAAATAGATTTCAGTTTGGTATAATAAGTGCTCACATCATCTGAACCTTGTTGAAGAGACATTAATTGTCTCTTTAGATGAAATATTATGGGTCCACTCTTTCTTGAGAATCTGTTTTTCAAGTCATCCCAAATTTCTTTTGTTGTTGTAGCAAAGAGAATGCTTGTAATGATTTCTTTTGAGACAGAGTTGTATATCCAAGATATAACCACGTTGTTTCCGCGATTCCAAGCAACAAAAGTAGGATCTTCTACATCAGGTTTCGAGAGGGTTCCGTCAGTGAAAGGTAACTTGTTCTTCACAGAGAGAGCCACATGCATCGCACGACTCCATGTGGTGTAATTCTTGTGATCAAGAAGCTCCGAAGTTAGGACAAGCCCTGGTCCATCCGAATGGTGCAAGAAAAGGGGGTTTCTTGGATCCATAAGCTGTTCTGCCATGTGCGTTGGTGATGTGGGAGTGATAGGTGGGCAAGAGACCTCACGACAATGGTGGCTGTAAAGAGACACGAACTGAGCAAGAATTAGTAGCAAGATAACCCACGAGCAAGAAATGAAAAAAAACTATTCATCTGATACCATATTAGAAGTATGATAATCATGAATTCATGAAGGAATTGAAATGGAAAGAGAAAAATAATTTTCTGAATATATTCTGTTGTATCTCACAGATTGCATGAAAGGAGGATATATATATCCTCTATCTCTATATTGTAAGAAACTACATATCTGGTATTTAAAAATAACTAACTAAAATTAACTGAGTGAAATAACTAATCTAATATTATCTGTTGAGGTTAACACGAAAACTCAAAATTCAATTATTTTTACATACATATCATCACAATTTTTTACTAGAAAAAATGAAGCACATACATTTGACAAATGTGTTAGCTTTCCAATTTGGTTGTGATTGACCCAAAACAAAATTGTACTAGTTTAATTTTTAATGCGTTTACATTTTTAAACAATATCATTACATGAAATATTATATAAAATAATGTATAAAATATGTCACTATAAATATAATATATGTAAGTGTAAATTTATTTAACATATATTCATACATAATTTTAATGTTGATTTTGAATGAGAATATGAGAATATGAGAATAACTTTTTGAATGAGAATAACATATACTTACACTTTTTAATAATTATGAAAATATAATTGTAGAAAAAAATAATTTTTAGTAATAAATATTATTTTATTATAGCGTGTTTTATTGCAAAATATTTTCTTTTGTAATGTGATTTATCGATACATTTTTTTTATAAAAATTATAAAGAAAAAGAATAAAATTAACCAAGTCAGGGGTTTAGGATTCGCTCAGTACGTATTGAACCATATTAGGTTGAGAAAATACTATCTTGAAACATATTTTCGACTGATTTAGCCCAACAAAAGAAAATGCCCTAAATTGATGAGACCAGCCAAACATGCCAATCTTCGAAGCTCTATTATTTTATTTTATTTTTTTGGTGAATTCTTCGGAGCTCTATTAAGAACTACACTGAACCACCTTAAAACTCTGAAACGGCATTCGATTAAAGTCCTTGATGAAGGTGATATGACATGTTGGAGCCTTCTATTGTACCATAGGGTGTGAACTACGTACGAATGTAACATATATATTGATCAATATTTACAACCTTATCAAGGTTTTTATGGATGGGGAATTTGTCAATGTTGACACCAATTAAGGAAGTGCTTGACTTGTTTAGGGCAATTTAAAATCACTAAATCCAAGTCTTCAAAGAGATCGTTTCAAGAGAGATAAATAAATTAAAAGTTCCGTAAAATAACGTATATGGTATTTTGATAGAAAACAATAGTGTAAATAATTATGAACTTTCAATTTCTGATACTCGTTAAATATAATTCAATTCTACTAAATTAGTGTGTAAAATGAAAATTATTTTTAACGTTTTTTTATTTATAAAAAAAATTATAATAACAATAATTAATAAAGTTTAAATATATTAATTTATCCATTTTTTTTCGATCTTATTTTTACTACTAGAATAATCTTAAAAGTTCATCTTATATATATGTTACTTTTACAACATCACTAAATATCTCTGATATTAAATGAGTTGTCTTTATCGGAATATTTTGATAATAATTTGTTTTACAAATGAATTAAGACACGTTATTTCATTTTATTATAATTTTTATTGCTTAGGGCATGGTTTCGTTTCTTATTTATTTTTTTAGTTACATTTCCTTTCTTGTGTATACACCATACATATAGGCAAAAAAATAAGTGTTAGAAAAAGAAATTTAATTATGTTGATAATTGAAAAATTCTTTATAATTTCCAAAACTCGTTAAAATATCTTGAGATCTAATGGAAAAATGAATGAAGTACAAAAGGTTTAAATAAGAGAAAAAAAGAAAAGAAATTCTTTTGTTCAATATGTGTGACCCTCTTTCGGTTAAATTTTCCATAGCTTGAACATGATGTCTGTTTTGGGCATCTTAGGTTGCATATGGGAGAAGAAAAGAAGCCAAATTCATCGCATGATTGCACAGCTTTTTGTATTATGTACTTTTAGGAAGGCTGAGTAATGTTAGGGTTTCAGGATTTCACCTCATGGGGGTGCAATTGTATATATATATATATTATCAATTATCAATTATGTTAAAATCAAATCTTATATTATTATATCAATACTGATTGACATAAATGGTAACAACTTGTATTCCTTGATTAATTATTTAGAATTCAAATCTTAACTTTAAGTATAAAATATACTAGATTAAAAGAACATATTCAATTATCTTGTACATGTACTCATGATCCTTGATGAAAATTTGCCATTACTTCTAAAAAGAAAATATTTGGTATTTATATTATCATTAAAATAAAACTCAAACTTTGTAAAATAATATATCTTTTTTGTTTGACAAATTAATATATTTACTTCCCTAACAACTGTGGCACATAAGAAATTGGTTTCATATTTGAAGAAGGGGTTTGGTGCGTAGGAGGTAGCCATTCTCCACTTACTGTTGAGTGACATATCTTACTTTCCCAGTTCTGACAGCGTAATAACGTTATATTTTCTTATAAGATTCCTGTCTTTTACACTTTACCAGACTTCTATATGTCATGTTGACTCTTGATTAAGATAAGTTTGCTTTTGAATAAAATTTTCCTAATTTGATCACAATTTTGTAAAATTAACTTTAGTTAAACTAAAGGGCCTTGCATATTTAAACTTTTTTTTAATTGGGATTTTGGTAGGATTAATGTGGTTTGGATAACTTTTATCAAAATCACCCTTACGTGTAATTTAAAATTTTATCAAAAGTATGTAAATGAAACAAAAGCAAGAAAATATTTAAAACTCAAAAGTAATTTTAAACCAATTAATATCTCAATTTTATTTGAATACAATATATTTTTTTTACTGCCCACCTATTTCAATTTTAAAATAATTTTATATTAAAACTTAAATAATTTATTATAAATTAATATAAAATATAATTTCTAATTGAGAAAATAAAGCGAGTGAGACCTTATTTTTTGAGTTAGAGATTTAATTCATAGTATAAAAGTAAAAGCTAGAAAAAAGCCAAATGTAACCCCAATTTTAAGATGTTAGAGTAGAAGGAAGAGAGAAATAAAAGGAATGAATAAATATGATAAATAATATTAAAAGAAATAAAAAAAATAAAAAATGCCAAAATAATATTGCCGTTTTGCATGCTAGAAAATGGAAGCCAGTGATAAAGTGACACGTGGAGGGTACAGTTTAAGGTATCTCACGACGTTTACGCTCAGCACTTGTTATGTAAACACAGTAGATTTTTCTTCATAACACATTCACACTTAAGACAGCTGTCTCCACGCGCCCGTGCAGAACACGCGCGTCCCAGACAAAGAGGTTACTCAGGAGCGTGATTCTCACGCGCACCGCCGCGAATGGAAGAAACGTTTTTTCCGAAAATAACTCAACCGAGTAAAGCACGATAAAAAGAAACTTGTATGAAACAGGAAACACAGACCAACCCTAAGCTGCACTCCATTTTATGGTGGAGAATGCAAGAAAAAATAAAAAAAGAAAGAAAAAAAAGATAACATCTTAAGTTAAAAAAGCTAAGTTAGATACGAGATAAACACAAGTGTGGTGTTGTTGTTGTTGTTGTTTGTTTACTTTCTCTCTCTCTCTTCAATTTTCATCTCTCTAGGGTTCCAACTTTGAACTCCAGAAACTCTCTTGTTTTTCACAAATTTGGGTGAAGTTGGGTACTGACCCAGAAAAGAAGGATCAACAGGTACCCAAGAGAAGGAAGGGTGTAGGAAAATAGAAACTTGTACGTGGAAAAGAAGAAATAAACAAGTGAATAAGAAAAGGGAAAAATTTGAATAATAATATATATTAATATTGGTAAGATAAGAATTAAGTGGTAGCTAGAAATATCAATATGGGGAGGGGAAGAGTGGAACTGAAAAGGATAGAGAACAAGATAAACAGGCAGGTAACGTTTGCAAAGAGGAGAAATGGTCTTCTCAAGAAAGCCTATGAGCTTTCTGTTCTCTGTGATGCTGAGGTTGCCCTTATCATCTTTTCCACCCGTGGCAAGCTTTATGAATTTTGCAGCAGCTCAAGGTTTGTATTGTTTCTGCCTTTGCACTCTTATTCAAATGAAATTCAATGATCTTATCTGTTGTACTTGTATATGTATAAGATCTACTTGTTTGTCTCTCCTTGTTTGAGAAGATGATATATTACTTTCATTTTTAAAATTTTTTTTTTCTGTTATATTAGTTATCAGCATAACTGGTTGAATCTAATGATATCTTTGTGTGTAATGAGTTTGTGGATTCTGTAAGATTTTGTACTTGCTTGAGAAGAAAAGTTTCATGTTTCTCTTTCTTGTGAGCTGGAGATGAAGAAATTAATCAATTTTTCAACTTTGATTTGATTTTTTGAGTGTAAGATTGTGAGATCTGGTGATGTAGTTCATGATCTGGAAAGTATCTTGTGGATTTTGTTCACTGATTACTTTCCTTTTTTGTTTCTCTCCTCCCTCCTTATTTGAGGGGTTTCTGGTTGATTTTCTGTAATTTTTTTCCTCTTGGATTCTTTTTATTAACAAATAAGACTAATGGATCTACTTTTTAGTGGCCTAATTTTTGTTTGTTTTCTTTGTAATTTAGTTCTTTTGCTTTCTTGATTTTTATTTATTTATTAAAAGTCTGGTTATGGTGAGTTTCTGAGACCAAGACGTGTTGGCGGCGGTACTAAAATGAAGTTCCTATGACAACTTCCTTTGAACATGACTTTAGTTCAATGAAGCAAGGACAGAATGTTATATTAGCATCCAGTGTCTTGCACCAAAAATAAATAAACACTATCTGTTTGCTCTAAAACAAATAGTTTGACATTTGTCAAAGCAACAAAGGGTTGTTTTATTGAGTATCAGTGTGTACGGGAAATTTTCTCTGAAATTCTTGTTGCATTTAATAGTTATTTCTTTTTCTTAAAAGGGTCTTTTATCTCACTATTTGTTTTATATTAGGAAACTGGTTACAAATTATGGGAAGAGCAGTGTTATATTTTCCCCTTTAAAATTTATAGTTTTCTCTTGACTTTATATTAACAGATTATACTTTCTCCTCTACTTCCTCTTGTTTTTATTCTTTTAGTTGAAATTTTATGATGAGGTTTTTATGGTACAAAACATTTCATATTATCCAACAAACTATTGTACTGTCCCTCTTATTATTATTAAAGCCGACTACATTAGTAATGAATTTATTAATTGGTTATGAAAATTGAAAGGACAAATAAAATTTTGGTGTGCCCTTACGAGTCAATCTCATAGAAGTTCAACGATGAGAAAGAAAGAAGATAAGCTGGATATTTAATGGCAAATAAATCAATATTTTTTCTATCTTTTCCCTATCCTTACGTGGGAAATAAGACATTAAGAAAGATTTGTTGTTGAAATAAATTCTTACAACGATATGAGCGTAGCATATTTATTAAATCATTTATATTATAGTATAATTATTGCAAAACATTATTTTTTAAGGTCTACTTATTTATCAATGTGATTATGTTACTGCTTGAGTTCTATATGAGATTGTTTACTCTTTACACGTATTGTGAAAAGCTAGTAAAAAGATTAATGCACATATTTTTCTCAACGGTAAGGGATTACATACAGGTTTTGCTAGTAAATGAGTCGAGAAAGGCAAAACTAACACAAGTAAAATGACTGCATAACTTGGAATTTAACCCTAGAAAATTATTTGTTGGCAATATATAAAAGATTAATTCATAATTAACTATGGCATAATTATTGTTGAGATGTGATACACATACTGTACAACATGTATTTATGCATGATCTCTTTATGCTACTATATCTTATTATATTTTAAATTTTCTTTGTAAAATTTGTTATAGAAGTATCATTTATAATTATTATTTTTTTAAGACTAGTGTAACCGACCTCTAAGATATAAGAATATCTAACACTACTGGCTGTTGTATAAGTGTAATGCTATTTGTGCATTTCTCTCTTCATTTTTAACGAGTTTTAGTTAAGAAACAAATTAAGATACGGGGTGCATGCATGAATTTGTGTGTAAGTGTAACTACAACAAATTTGTACATATCAGTCTTCATATTATTGTCTATAGTCTCTCTTATTTTAGCATGTTGATGATCCAAATGAATAAATTATACTTTTAAAATACCTGAGTTGTATATTTATCTTCTAAATTTATAAAGTTGCCCATGAAAGTATCTTGTCATGTCATGCAATTATATGTTCAAACTTCAAGCCTGTCACCAACTCCATCTGATAAAGTAACATGTATATATAATGGGAGATTATATTATTCTCTTTTTCTTCCTTCTAGCTTCCCATTGTATTGCTTTAGAAGATCAAGTGAATCAATACAGGGCAAATAGTGCTTCAATTATACTTACTAGGAGATAAAATATGAAGCTTAACATAAAAAGCTTTTATTTTTTATTTTAATAAAAGATTATATTCTTAAATATACATACAATTTTATATCAGCAAACACTAAAGAAAATGGGCTGAAATGTTTGCTTTCAGCTTTAATTTCTACTGTCTTCAACAAATAGCGGAATTTTTTGCAATCATATATATTAAATGTGTTTAAGAGTTAATTGAGTTGAACTTAATTGGAATTGAAAAAAAAATTACATTTACAAATTTTTACTATTTTTTTTTATATCAAAACGTGTGTTTTTCCATTAACATAGGTTTAAATCGGTATTCAAACATATACATTGTTGTATCATCTTGCAATTTGCTCCAAATTTGCCTAGAAATCAACGTCCTGATATTTATAACAACATTATGGTGTTCACTAGGTCATTGCCTGTCAAGTTCGTTTGGTGTTGCAAAACCAAGTATTTATGTTTTCTGCAGCCTTATATTGCATTTCACTTTTATTCTCTCTCTATGAACTACGTACTTTCTGCATTAGAATTTAGGAAACTAGTTAGATCGTAGTTTTTTACTTCATAATTTGAAACCTTTCTATTTGTTTTTATCTAGCTTGGAACATCGAGGGTAAGTGTGATATAGATGAATAATAAAATATAAATGCATTAATATCTGATGTTGATTTTGTGTCATTAAAGTAAGAGGAGCAAATTCCAACTTTAATTTTGAGCCACCAATAAAATTGACAACTCATTTTAAGTTTGATGCATAGCAAGATATATGGCTCATTTGCTGTTGCAATTCTTTCATAATTGTGGTATGGTTAATCCATACACCATGATCAATTTGAACAGTTATTCCTTTCTCTTTCTTCAATCTGCAGCATGCTCAAAACACTTGAAAGGTACCAAAAGTGCAGCTATGGTGCAGTTGAAGTTAGCAAACCAGCCAAAGAGCTTGAGGTAGTGATTAGTGAATGCCATCTTTTTTTTTTTTTCTTTTTTTATCACATTAAGGAAATAACATCTCTTAGAAATTTCACTTTGGAAAGTCTTATTAATTCCTAGAAATTTGATGCCAACTTAAAGTAATCTTATGTAAAATATGTTTCCCATTATATGTTCCAAAAGTCCCTTTGTTATTTTTCATTTGTCATTTGCCTTTGTATATAGCAGAGCAGCTACCGAGAGTACTTGAAGCTGAAAGGAAGATTTGAATCTCTTCAAAGGACTCAAAGGTGAATTTCATATAAAAGGATTTTTTTAAAAAAAAATGCACAAAATGGTTTGAGAAAATTTTCTTGCATTCAGTTAGTTTCATTAAGACCGTGCACTTGTTCCATTCTTCAGAAACCTTCTAGGTGAAGATTTGGGCCCATTGAATTCCAAAGAACTTGAGCAGCTTGAGAGGCAACTAGATTCATCTCTCAAGCAAGTGAGGTCCACAAAGGTAATAAAATATCAATGCTCATTATGTAAGAAAATTATACTATATACAAAGCTCATTGATGTGATATACTTTATTACATTTGCTACTAGAGTTATAATGTGATACTTATAATACCACTTGACTACTGTAGTTTACCCCATATGATATGATTTCACATTTTCTGTAGGATGTTTTCTATAGAAAGGTATATTTGGGACAAGTTTTTGATTAAGAGTTCAAAATTCAAATTGTGTAACAGAATTTTTGTTATAGAAAATTGTCACCGAACAGGATTTTCTCTTCATTGAATATATATCCAACAATTTTATGATCCAAGAAAATGATAATGTCAAGAAATTGCATGTATTTTCAATTTTTCATTATTAATTTCTTTTCATATGGTTGGAAATGCTAATTTACGAGTTCGAAGTTCCCTTATGAAAGACTGTAACATTATTTTGCAGACTCAATTCATGCTGGACCAGTTAGCTGATCTCCAAAACAAGGTAAACAGTAATTAGCATGACTATAGAATAAAGCAACTTTGTGTGTACCTAACACTTTCGATCTTTTTTGGATACAGGAGCACATGTTGGTAGAAGCAAACAGAGCTTTGACCATGAAGGTAACATTAAACAACTATCCATGAAGTTCATTCTACAACAACAAGCAAGATTGCCAATATAGAATCTCTCTTGCTGTGTATTCTAGCAAAATAAATTTGTAGAAGATATACATCTTACTTTGTCTGATAACTTTTGGTAGTTATATTTATTCTTATAAATCCATATAGGAGTACAACCTTGCATCTCTATGTTTGCCCAATCAGATTGGAATTGGATATTTGGAAGTTAAAGTTTTCTAGCAAATAGTCCTTAGGATTAGTCAAATAAATTCACAAATGAATTTCTCCACAAACAAAATGAATAAAAACCTTATTAGAAATGCCTCCTTCATTTTCTCTACTTGACTGCCCATTCAAAAGTTAAAACCAGTATGTTTATGTATTTGATATTATCGTTATTGTTGCCCTGTTGCATAATATTATTGTTATTCTGTTGCATAATATGATTGTGCACTTGTTTTTATTACTTATACTATGTATGTAGTTTTGAACTTTTGTTGATTTTCACTTTCAATTCTTGTTTTTTCTCCTGTTAAGATTTTTGGTCCTTAGCATCAAGATTTTTTGTTTATGGAAGAAAATTTTAAAGACTAAAATCAAATGAAATTTGTTGAGGGACTAAAAGTGAAAATTGACAAAAATTCATAAATTAAAAACATATTTAATCCAACTTAGAATATGAAAAAACTATTCAGCAGTGTTTAATGCAACCTTACATCTTTTATTCTTCCATTCACTCTCTGGTCCTCTAATGATGATTTGATTAATGACGTGTGTTGGCAGCTGGAAGAAATCAATTCACGAAACCAGTATAGGCAAACATGGGAAGCTGGTGATCAAAGTATGCAATATGGTACACAGAATGCGCACTCTCAAGGCTTCTTTCAGCCTTTGGAGTGCAATCCCACATTGCAGATAGGGTAATCTATAATCAGTTTCTTGTAATTATATACTAAAGATGTTGGAGATCCCACGTCAACAAGTGAAATGACTATAATAAGTGTATGTAAGTGAAGAACAATCTTCACATTTCAAATCGGTTTTGTAAGGTTATATAAAGATGTTCTTCACTTATATAGATTATTATGATTATCTCATTAGTTGATGTGAGAATTCTAAGAGAAGAAGAGGATTTGAATTATATTTAATGCTTGTCTCTTGGTGCAGTCCTGACTACAGGTACAACCCTGAGGCCTCAGATCAGCTAACTGCCACAACTCAAGCTCAACAAGTGAATGGCTTTATTCCTGGATGGATGCTTTGATAAGCTCAGTATTTTGGTGGCTACATAAATAAAACTAGCAAACACCTAAGGCCAAAGTAAAAAATGCCTCTTATTGTTGGAAATGTGTAAATGCTGCATGTGCTTCTGTTATTTGTGTTGGCATAAAAACAGCAGTGACTGACTTAAAACTGTTAAAACTTTAGCCATGGACATGTGGCATGCAAGAAGGTTATAGTATTTTGAATGTCTTTGAAGGAGAACTTTTGTCTGACTGAATGACCATTTAATGACATTTTTCTATTGCAATAACTAATCTGGCTGCTTTAATTTAACCATTGCTTTCAAACTTCTTGCATTCATTAGTGGAGGATTGTATCATTATAAGACAATATTGTAAAATATGCTGAAGCTATGGCAATGTCGCTTGAATCCTTTTCAAGGGTGAAATACAAAAAGGAGAAAAGCTTGATAAGATTGTGGATAAAGTTGAAACACAATCTAACTCTCCACCCCTCCACCACAAAGTTTCTTTTGAGTCTTGCAAAATATGTTTGGCTTTTCCATTATATGAAAATATGACACCCCTTTAATTGTAATGGTGATGTGAAATGGTCAATTGATTGTTTTCCTCGGATATCTCAACCAGCAACCTTAGAGTTCCACTTATTGTTATAAAGTATAAACAGCATCAAGGATAATATGTAAAGCAGTGTATCTTTACACATGAAATATTATGAAGAGATATTAAAGGGTCTCTTTCCCCCTGGTGTGGTGTCATCTATCTAGGATCTAGCCATTTTTATTGTTAAGGATTCTAAGGTAAAAACGTACACAAGTCATGATCAAAGGCTTTTTCAGTATCCACTTCCATACATAGAAATAAGGTCCTTTTGCTAGAATTCTTTTGAATTGCATTAGCTGATGAGACAATGGTTGCTTTGTCTTACGAGAGTTCAGAGTTGTACTTAAAATTGAGATTATGAACAATTATATGATTAGTATCTTTGTATTTTCGTCGATCTTTGTTAGTGCCCTGCAGCCAAGTGCAGTTGGTCTAAACCGAGTTAACAAATTCAGGTCAACACCTTTGGTATAACTTATAAGCACCAATGAAGTATAATTTGTTCCTTCTACACTGTTATAGTGATACTCCTAATTATTTTGATGAACTTGCAGATTTCATCTATATTATTAATAAAAGAATTCACTCATTTAGTGTCACATTTTTTAATTTTACCTTTATAATTATCTTTTTACAAATTACATTTTTATATATATATATTTTTTAAAATTTTACTCTATAATTGTATGTATTTTTAATAACAACTCACAATTATATAATTTTATTATTTATTATTTTTAAAAACAAGGCACACATAATGTCTTTTGTGTGCTAGTCCTCTATTATTTCAACGGACATGTGTATGAGTATGAGTTTTACTATCTATCCTTATATATCTTCATATTTCTATGATTACTTATTAAGTAAATATTCACAAAATTTAAAAAAGAACTTTTTGATATCATAATATTGGTAAGAATATCTTTTGACTTTTCTGAAAATTATTTTTCCTCATAACCTTAATTGCATTAAGTAGATGTTTGCAAATTTTTTTTAATATTTACAAATATCCATGAAAATTCATAACTAAAAAAGATAATTTAATTTAAAACAAAACATTTTTGACAATAATTTTTAGTTATTTTTTTATTGTTTTTTAAAATAATTTAAGGAATGTAAATTAAAATTATTTAATTATTGTACATAATTATTCTATACAATTATACTAATCAAAATAAGTTAATTCAGAAATTAAATTTAAATAATAAAATATTTAAATCTCATAATTCCAAACATAATATTAGATTTCATTGTATAACATTAAAACTTTATAACATGTTTAGGCAAAAGAAAAATAAAATTCGGTTTATTAGCATATACTATAATTTGTTGAGTTAATTTAAATACACCGTCAAACTCAATATTAGATTTCATCATATAAGTATAACCAAATTATCCAACTGATATTTGAATTGCATTCCAACTTGGACTTGAAGTAGGTGGAGGTGGTGATGTAAGACTCTCCAGTATTCAATCCAGTACAATCTAAATAAAAGTATTAGTCTTTGATCTAAGTTCAAGTTCCGAAGAGTGGAGACACTTGTACTCACTACTATTTAACACATACATAATTTTTTATTTAAAAATAATATATTTTAAAAAATAAAAATTATATTCTAATAAAATAAATAGATATACTTAAATTATCATATATATTAAATATAGATTCGGAGAAGATGTTTATTTATTTGATATCTGTCAAATTTTTAAAAGAGATTAATTTTCTTATGTAATAAAGAATACTCCTTAATAACGAGTCAATTTTTTTTCAAAAAAACTTTAATTATAATATATATATATATATATATATATATATCTTAATACTCACATATATAATATAATATATTAAAAAATTAATTTTTGATAAAATAAAATTTATAATATGTATGTTTATGTTTTGTTTGCATACATTGATTAAAAAAATAAAAATAGTAAAATTGTATACATTGATTAAAAAATTAAAATAAGAAAAATTGGAAGATTTATGTTCCATTTAAAATTGTTATTATAAAATATATTTTAAAATAAATTATCATCTAAAAATATATATTAGATATTAAAAACATGTTTATATCATAAATAAATTAAATTTTACTTTTATAAAATTTAACATATTTATTTTTATATTTTTAATAGTGTTAAATTATTATAAAGTATATTTTTAGGATTGTAGTTCTAATCAAATATTTAAAAAATGTCTATGATAGATAAATAAGTCATATTTATTATATATATTTTTAAAGAAAGTTATGTACAAACCTATTAAATTATAATAAAATTTAATCTAACCTAATTTGTTTTCATCTTTAATTATAATCATAGATATAAAAATTTGTAAAAAAAATAATTATGAAATATATTTATGCCTTTAAAAATTATATATAAAATTTTTAATACTACAAATATATGAATAAGTTTTGTCCCCACTATTTAAAATTCCTAGATCCGTCATTGATTAGAAGGCACTAAATAAATCTTTTTTTTTTAGGAATACTAAACAAATCTTATTTTATGATCTCTATTACATTTTTTCATCTCATAAAACTAATAAATCTATGCAATAAAGAAAAAAAAATGAGAGCCAAGAATATCTTTAAATTAATTCAAAACTAATAATTTTTTAGACGCATTAAAATAACAAGATGTATGCCTAAAAATAATAATAATGATATAATCACTTTCTATATATTAAAGATGAATCTCTATCTTGTACAAGATTGTTTTTAAAATTGTTATTTAAATCTTGTGCAAAATTTAATTATAAATTAAATATTAATATTTTAAAATAAATTATTAATAAATAAAAATATTTTTTTACAATATAAATTTTTCATCATAAATTTAAAATATAATTTATATATTTAAAAATATTTATGTGATATGGAATTGAGCTATGAGATGAGATGTTGTATGGATATAATTATGATTGTGATTGTGGTTCCTCACACATGTTACCAGGGATGAGACGACCCTGGGTAGGTGATGCTTCAAGAATGGCATGCCCTTGGCATAGTATGGGATGAGTGAGGCAATTAACACGCATCACTTATGTCAGATGTGGCAGCCTTGACATAGGGTTAATTGTAAGAGATTGTGTGGATTGTAATGTGATTGTGGTTCCTCACACTAATGACCAGGGTAATTTATTATAAAATTTAATTTTATATAATAAACATATCTATATATTAAACATATTAAATACCATATTTGAAATAATGTCTCAACTTAAGGTCGAGAAAGACTTTGATGTGAAAGAAAATAAAAGAGATGTTTATATTTAACTTATGATTTGTTGGTACAGCCGTACAGGACTCTGTTTTCCTTCACTCAACTACTTTTAATTTAGAGCTAAAGTTTACACAATCTCGCAAATTATACTCTCATTTTATTTATTTATTTATTATAAATTTGATTTTTTTCAATTTATAATTTCCGAAATTTTGTCTACACGTAATTAAAATTCCATCATAAAGATGATTTTTTTGGCCTTTTGCAATTATTCCCCTAAATGGCCACAAAATTAGTTAACTGAATTGTAGCGATTTGAGTACATAGGGACAAAATTTACAATATTTTATAAATTGAAGGACAAAATATACGAAGGCAAAAATAATTACAATTAAGTCTAAAGTTTATAATTTATAGTTGGTTTAAATATACATTTTGTTCTTATAATATACTTTTTTTATTATGTTCCTCGTAAAATTATTTTAAAAAAAAATAGTTTTCGTTAAAAAAAAACATTTTATTCTTTGTTTAATCCTTATAAGAAAGAATGTAAAAATGTGTCCCTTGAGTTGTCCAATATATTATATTTGGTATGAGCTGAGTTCTAAAATTTCAAGCAAGATCTTAATTCAGTCTATAGCCCAAAGATTGTTCGGCTCGTGTGGGTTAGGCCAAGGTGACCCATTTTATTTTAAAATTATTTCTTTCATGTCTTTTTATTTGTTAAGACTATTTTTTATTCCAGGTTATTTATTCCTAATAAAAGTAATGAATAATAACATTTAAAGATCAATGACATTATAATCGTAAATTATAAAAAGACATTATAATGAGTTTTAACATGTTATAAATATATTAAATATCAAGCATTAATACATGATATGATTGCAAATCAATATTTCACGTATAATCATTATGTTACTGATAATAGAAATTTCATAGAAATAAATTCATTGTATTAGATTGAATAAATAGGATAATTGCATTGAGCTATCTTTAGATGAGGAATATGAGGGGTTAGCACCAAAGAGTAAGGGGTACTCATGTGTATTAGAAAATGTGAATATGAATCAATTCAAATTGATTGAATCATTGTTTTTTTTTTTTTTTAATGTTTGAGTCAAATTGAAATTTGTTTATGAATGAGTTGAATAATGAATTTTGATTTTTAAATTTAATTTGATTTAATTTAACTTGTATGCATAATATATTATTAAATTCATCATATATTTATATAATATTATATATTTTAAATTAAAAAATATAAACAAAAAATAACTTTACCTAAACTATCTCTCTGCATCACATCACACAAATACATGAAAAAAATACATATAATTCATTTTTTGTAAGTCATAGCAATGAGTAACATTTAATTTTGAGGTTTAATTTATTCTACTGTTTGTTTTTGGTGAGTTTAGCAACATGTTGGAGCGTTTTCTTTAGTTAGATTCAAGTTTTATACACATGGTCATTTTTTGT